GCTGAGCGGGGAGCGTGGGACTTGATCCTAGGACTCCAGAATCAGGACCTGAGCCAAAGGCAGACGCTTAACGACTGAGCCACCCAGGTGCCCTATAGTTATTTTAACTATCTCTCCCAGTGCCCCTGCTTGTGTTCCCTCTCTTGCTGTCTCTCTCTCTGTGTCAAATAAATAAATAAAATCTTTAAAAAAAAAACTATCTGTGAAATGAATTAGTATATAAGATTAATTTTAGGATGAAAAAATTTACCAGATAAACATGAAAAGGGAATTATTTGGAAAGTCAGGATGGCAAACAATGCAAGTAAATACCAATTGGCTGGACACCTCTGGTAAAAACTGTAACTCACCTTTTAGCACTACTCTGGCTCCATGTGAATGAGCATAACACATAAGTTCTGGGTCATATTTTCCAAAAATCACCACAGTTGTAATCTGTGACCAATCATAAAATTTCCAAGTTTTATTTCCAACATCAAAAACAAAAACCTGCCAAAACAGCAAAAATAAGCATCATCACTTAAATCAAGAAGAATACAATGCTGACCACCCAAAATAACATTAAACACTGATCATATGCCAGGCATTAAGAGTACAACAAACAAGACATAGGTGTCCTAATATAATTGGTGGTGGGAAAAATTAGCCAGGCCTCAAAAGTAGGGCTAGGAAGAAATAGTGGAAAGAGCCAAGACCTGGAAGCAGAGAAAACATGGTGATTGCATAAGTAAGTATTAGGTATAGCTGACACCTTGAATTTGGAAGGAGATAGCAATAAAGAACCAAAGAGTGGTAGGCAGGGTTAAGTTATAAAAGGCCTTGTAAGCCCTCTTGAGAAATTAGTACATTATCCTGAGGGAAAGCATTTTAAAAGCAGAATGTATACATTTTAGGTATGCATTTATATATACATTTTAGAAAAATACCTTCAGCTGAAGTGGGAACAGAGGCTAAAACTGAAAGAATAACTGATAGGAAAGCTGTTAGAAGAATCTATGCAGGAGATGATGATGACCTCAAATTAAACTTGTAGAAAGGCAGAGATAAATAAGATACATGAACAGATATGGAAGATCCTAAGGGCAAAATTAACAGGACTTTGTTACTAATGAATGAGTAAAGTAAGAGAAAGGAAGGTTGATTAGTACTTGTTTCTGGCTGCTGCAGATGGAGCTACTCCATCTATACAAATGTACCAGATCCTGCATTTACTATGAATGGTTTTTGGCGAGACAGACTTCTTAGAATAGTTCTAAGGTGGTAGATGTTATGTTTCACCAGTATCCACCCCGCCCCCCCACCCAGATAATTCTAGAAGCACAGAAGTCTCATCATTTTATTCCAGATAAGGTGTTAATTCATTGATTTAGCGAATATTTATTGAATTTCAGTAAAGTTTAGGGAATGTATATTGCTAGACATTAGTGACAGAAGTTAGAGACTAGGTCCATGAGCTGTTCAATTACAAGAGTGTTAAGGGCTGCATGAGAATGCAGGCATTCATGACAGCATATAAAGGGGGCCTGCTACGCTGGTAGGGCAGGAAAACAGAACTACACACTTTGGGGGAAAACTGAAATCTGAGCAATGACCTAGACACGATGCAGGGTTACCTATAAACAGAAAGAGCATTCTCAGCAGAGGGAACAAAAGAGGGCAAATGTCTCAATACCTCAGAAGAATTCTGAATTTTTGGAACCAAAAGAATATCAATGTGGCTGGAGCACAGAAATCCTAAAAGTACATGAAATCAGATAAAACTAGTAAGGTAGGTAGTGACAAGATCAAGTAGGGCTTTGTAGATCACTGGGGATTTTGTATTTTATCCTGAGATGAATGGGCAACCATTAGTGTTTTAAGCAGAGGAGGGACATAAGATTTGCATTAACAAATGAGAAAGGGGGAGAGATCAGTAATCCCTGGGTCACTGTAAGGAGAATGGATGGGTGAGGGGTGGGAGAGAACTAGGTATAAGAGTTAAACCAGACATTTCTTAATTTTCTCATTTTCCTTACATTTTTATTTTTTACTTTTCCGAATTAACTACGCATAACCCATTTTTCTCCTAGGCAATTGCCCACTAAAATAAAAAGTACAGAATGTGAAATTGGAATGGCCCATTGTTTTGGAGGTTTTAGACTCATATTTCCATCACAAACCTTATCCCCTATTTTAATTCTGATAATTAATTGAGTTTGTTTAGATTGTTTAAGTTTGTATACTGAGAGCTTGTGATATAATAGAAATCCTAAAAATATAACTGGATGAATGCACTGAGAATATAAGGGTGAAAAGAGCAATGTAGTCTAATCTGTGTTTGAAGAATATAGGTCAGTAGCAAAAAAGACCATTTACCATGAACAGATGAACAAAATTTTGCTTCTTTGAATAATTGATTTTCCAAATGCCCAGAGAGGTATTGGGAGCTACAGTAAATAAGTCAGATGTTTGGTTTCCACACTAAGTAGGTTCTTTACAAACACTTTGCCACCTTTACTTCTTCTCCTAAGCAATGTATATATACCTTTTTACTGGCATTTAAATGCCTCTGCTTCAAAATCTGTTAGATTAAGAACTGGAAATTGTCCCGGTCTTTAAAAAAGATTTGCCCTTTGGACTGTGTTAGTTTTAAAAATAAAACTGCCAGTTATTTTACCAGCAAAAAACTGAGTTTATTCAGGAATAGCAGAGAATTACAATCCAGGACAAGCAAGCTATGGCAATAGCATTGGTAAATCTGCAGAACAAAGGAAAGGAATGCTCTTTTACAGAGGAAAGGGGGAAATTGAGAAGGCTATTATAAATAAAGTCAATTAGAGTAAACTAGAAACTTGAAATATAGTGGTTTTTCATTGGCTGAGTTATGACAGTCTCTAATTACCTGGGCTTTACTGAGGGAGGAAGAAATCCTTCTTGTTGAGAATAGTAAAGTAGTATCCACGTGCAAGGTACCCCTGCTTTTTCTTTGGGTACCTTTTTGGGTCTGCAATTGATGAGTGGCAGGACGTGACAGCGCCCCCTGTTGGCCTCCCAACTCCATTTTAAATGAGGTTTCCTTTTGTTAATTTTCACATTTCCCACTTTTGATCTTTTTTTGAAAACATCACTGATCAAGAGGGAAGTTTTCCACATTTAGTGGTTTTGTCCCTCAGTACCAGGAAGGATCTTCCCCTGGTTGTCACATCCTATATTGGAGGGAAAGTACTTCTATGTTACTCACATTTGATTAGGAGGGAGAAACTCTCAGGTACTCCCACCTAAAGTAGTATCTACTCAAGGTCATAGGTGTTGGAAATCATCTCGAAGGGTTGAGCCAGCATCACATTAATGGAGACAACATTTTTTTAAAGTCTAACAGGCAACAAAATAAACAAATATACAAAACAGAAGTAACTACCAATTCCAAATTGTATAATAGTTCTAAACCAGGACTCTAGGTCTGGAAGTAGACACTGAAATATTTATTGACACTTATTCCAACTTATGGGAGAAAGATTCTATGAAGGCAAACCTGGAGCCATGTATGCCTCCTGGCGGGCTCCACTTAAAGAGACCATGAACACAGAATCATAAATACTACAAGACCACACTAAAAGACTTAACTGAGGCATCTTGAGAAGTGACAGTGCAGATATAAACATGAAGCAATAGCTGATGAACTTTTTGCAAAACAGCACAACCTCAAAGATGTTTTACAATAGTATTGTTACCTCAAAAGACTGTTTGGAATCAAATGTATTATTGAAAATAGAGTCTGTGGTTGCAAAATCAGAAACCATGAATCTGGATAAGAATCCAAAATCCGTTAATAGTCCAGATGAAGGACTTTTATGAATTCTGAACTTTCTAACCCTTCAAAAATAAAGCAAGTGAAAAACTAATTTGTCCCAGGATCATGATGAAGTTGTTTCCAAAAAGGTATAATCAAAAGAAGAGGTTTCTGCCTTCCACAAGGGCTTGGGAAGTGCAGAGGAGGCGTTGTCTTCCCACAAAAAAGAAGCATCAATGGTGAGGAAAAGGTATACAGGCCTGGTCCAGACATCTTGGGAAATCTGTCTCATCAGATATCATCTGCTTCAATTCCAGGAAATCTTTACTTTCATGTCATCAGATGGTGTGCAGGTCCAGTTATCGTTTGGTGCTTTCTTTATGTGTGTTACATGAATCCAAGAGTCTATTCCCTGGAGTTTCGTGGCACAAGGGTTGGTTTGCAGTTCCTGATAAGGGTCTTCCCAGTGAGGCAGAAGACTTTTTATGGAGGTGTTTTTCATCCCACAAAATCTCTTGAGAGTGCATTGTGATAAGATTGCTCTACCTAAGTATGCTTATTTTTGAGCCCTGATGATGACCCAAAGACTGAAAGAACAGACTCTCCACAGCTAAATATAAAAGAAGAGGGCACATCAAAGAGGGTAGGAAGGATGGAGATGTGGTCAGGAGCCAATCTGACCCACAGGACTGTCCATGGGAGGGAGGGTTGCCATAGGTACAGGTAGCAGTGGGGAGCAGACCCCATACCAGGCAACCCGGGCACAGGGAACCCACACTGGGAAGACAAATCCCCATAACATTTGGCTTTGAAAATGGGAGGGGCCAAATTTCATTCTTACAATCAAAGGGGATTAATACCTGGAATTAAAAAAAATCAGCTGGCTTGGCTCTGAGAGAGCCAGAGGGCAATAGGAAACTGAGTTCTCACCCTTAAAGAGACAGCACACCAAACGGCCCCTCTAAGACACAGCATAGAGCAGCAGTTTGAAAAACACCAGGGGTATACAAGAAGATTTACTTAATAATAGTGTGTGTTGGAGGGGCAGGGATCTTTGGGAGACTTTAACAACAAAAGAGCTGGTAGGTGCCATTTCCCTCCCCTAGTCTAGATACACAGACAACTGCAGAAGACAGTGCTGCGGGAACACTCTCTACCTAGCTTGCTAACAGCATGCCTCACCTCCACATTCTTATGTAGATCTGCCCCTCCACAAACTGGCTGGCCTTGGCAGGTTTCCTGGGTGGCTGCAGCTCCTCTCCCACTTTGGACCAGCACAGACCTTGCTGGCACCATGCATCCTGCCCCCACATTCTCCTGCAGACCTTCCCCCTCCAATACAACCTTAGCCCGAGCCCATCTAAAGTGGTGCCACAAACGTGGAAGTCTACAAGCAGCCCCAACAGGGGCCAGCATCACTCCAAAATGACTCCTACCCTTGGTAGAGGGGAAGGTAACTACACAGACCAGTCCAACTGCAGCCCCAGCAGTAGGCTAGGGGCAGACATCTGATGGCCCTGGCCACCAAACAAAGCTTCTCAGGGGACCACACAGGAAAAGTGTCCTATAGTTCCATGCTACTGCATCCCTTAAAAACACCTGGTCAAACTCAACTCAAGCCAAAGGCAGCCCCAGACTAACCCTCTAACAACACAGGTACTAAGCTCTGCCCACAACAGGCAAAAAGAGCCATTGCAGATGACTGGACTGAAGGCAAACA